GCTCTTGAGCCTTGTATCGAGTGAACTTGTAAATTTCAACCGAAATTGGTTCTGGCTGTTTGGTCAATGAATACTGAATATATCCTAATAAGAAAACGGTTCGTATTACTATTAGAGATAAGAAGAACAGATACCACACTTTCATCCTGTTCTGATGGCCAGGGATTGAAGAAAAGCATAACGAGTCGCAATCTATATTTGGGCGATGAATGCGAAATAATAATATTATTACCATTAATATTAGAGATGAAGAGGACGAATACCGCACTTGATACTTACTCGTCTCCCCACAGTAAAGGGGTATGACACAAGGCCAGTTTAAAATGGGGAGCCTAAGCGCGTGCACATAGGCCAAGACCCAAAATCGCCCAATCTCCGCAAACCATGTCGATATTCCATCGACCATTCATCTTTAGTGCAGCGAGGGAGGTGCTGCCACAGGGTTGCAATCCCCGGGACTATGCATCTCTCACTTATTTCATGTGTTCTGTTCGAAAATTGGGACAGAGAATGTAGTCTGTCCGAAGGCAGATTGTATTTACCTGCTGCCCTAATTTGGCAGGATGTGACACAAGGTCAATTTAATATGTGGATACCCGAGCCAGTGTACCCGGGCCAGGTCCAAAAATAGCCCAGCCTCAGCTGTATCTTTAGTTGCGCTCTGTCCGAAGACAAAGACACAACTGAGTTGCGCTCTGTCAGAAGACAAAAGCACAACCGAGTCGAACTCTGTCCGAAGGCAAAGACGCAACCGAGTTGCACTCTGTCCGAAGACAAAGACACAACTGAGTCGAACTCTGTCCGAAGATAAAACCCAGTTGATAGATAAAATGTAGTTTTGTTCACCCTTAAGCAGATACTACACATATTTGCCAATCCACGCTCAGTCAGTTTATTTTGGGGAGCCCGAACGTGTGCACACGGGCCAGTTCCAAAAGTGACCCAACACCAGCAACGGACTCCTCCTTTCTTTAATGCAGTGTTTCCCAACCTTTTTAAGCAACGGCTCAACTCGGAACAAATGAAAATATCACGGCTCACTGAGCAAGATTTTTAAAAGGTAGACATTTAAATGTTATAAAATAAAACCTTTGATTTAAAAAAACTGGGAAATTATTGAATCGAATGCTCTGTGTTGCATATCGGAAACTTCGACATTACCAATTCATGATTCAATACAAATTTTTTTTAAAATTTTGAATTATACAAAGAGTGTTGAATACACTTATATGAGAAAAAGATTATTTCTTTTATTCAAATAAAGGAAAATTTTTAAAAGTGAAATTATAAAAATAAAATACTTTTAAAAAAATGAATATTAAAACAAAATACTTAAAATAGCATAATCGAAAAATAATGAAAATAATTATTTCAAAAATGTTTAATACTTATTCATTTATTTAAATACTAACACTGTACCATTACTAATTCCACAGACATATATATATATATGTAATACGTGACAATATTTCGCTGTACACCTAAGAGGATCGCGTGGCATACTAGTGTGTCGCGGTACGACCATTGAGAATTACTGCTTTAAGGTAATGAGAGAGGTACTTCTGAGGACAGCCATTTTGCGAGATCGGGTATCTCCCAATGATATTTTCAGTTGCGCTCTGTCCGAAGACAGAAACAATCGAGAGACAAAATGTTATTCTTTCACCCAAAAGTAGATACTATAATTTGATGGACAGGGGTGTATTGAAAAAAAAAAATTAAAATTAAGATTAAGAAAAAAATATAACTATCTTTCAAAATGTGTTCATTATTTTATCTTTAAACAAAGGAGATTTTCTCTTCTTTTTTTTTCCCCTCCAGCTGCTGAAATTGCAGAATAATGATGACACAATGATCAGTAATTAATATTTATGTTCAAACTGCTTTGGCAAAACATCTATTTTCGCTTCATTATTCCATACTTGTGTGCTATAATTTGCCAATCAATAAATGTTGTAACAAGACGTCTTGATAACATGTGCTGTTAAATATTCATTTTTTGAAAATAATTTCATCTCAAACATTGATTTGAATGAAACAAATCTATCGATAATTAATTTAAAGCGTAGGATTTGGGTTTTAAGCCACCACAAATTATAAACCTTTTATCTATCTATCTATCTATCTATCTATCTATCTATCTATCTGTGACGTAGTCTGCTAATATCTATCTATCTATCTGTTGTAGAGTAGTTTTCACAGTGGAGGCTTGTATTTCACTAAGTCGGTCCTAAAATAGGTTCGACGTACAAAACGTTAGGAACTTGATATAATAGTTAATGACGCAGCAATCTACTTGTGGTGGTTGATACTTTAATGTCCGACATCGACTGACACGACCAACTCACTGAGCCCCAACTGGCAGCCGCTACTACTACTACTACTTATTATGTGTGGGAGAGTCTATTACAATAGAATAAGTATGTTCCGGTATAAAACTATCTATCTAATATTTGTCGGACTTTGTCCATTTCATAATGTGTGGCGTCATATGTTTACATTTGGATACGCATCGAGCAGATATAAATGTATGAGAGAAAATCATGGAGAATTGTAGTTTAAAAACAGTAAAATCGACCTTGCTAACCGAAATGCTTCTCTGTGGCTCAATCGGTAAAAGCACATCAGGCTATATGACGATTCCGTACAGGATACAGGTTCGATTCCTGTCGGAGGACGCATATTTTCTGTGAAATTTTCTCGGACATTCAGGCCGGTAAATGTCATTAATACTGTTTATTATTAACAGAGCATTTTACTTAAATATTTGCATCTATAAAAAGAATGTATAAACATAAAAATGTCTTAAAATAATTGTCGGACTTTGTCCATTTCATAATGTGTGATGTCATATATATATATATATATATATATATATATATATATATATATATGTCAGTAATGCAGTCAGTTTTTATCTATCGGGATAGAACGTTAAAGTCTTCAGTAAAAGAAATAAAAATTCCATTTTACTTCATTCATCCATTTAAAAATGACTATATTAGAAATAATGCTGAAAAAGTAATTGACCTTTTTTAACATTTTGATTCGTAAATTTTACAAAATATGTCTTCTTCTTCTTCTTCTTCTTCTTCTTCTTCTTCTTCTTCTTCTTCTTCTTCTTTGTGCTTTGGTTCCTCAGAGCGTGGGTGTCCATGGCTCTCCCCCCACTTCCTATCCTTTTTTAACACTTAGCAATGTTTTTCGTTTTACTGTCTCTACTATTTCCTTTTCTGTCATCCATTTTGTGTAATATATTTTACAAAAATATACTCTCTGGGACAGAGGTGAACAGCGACTATATCTTGTAGCGTGTATATCTTGCTTATGTATATTATTAAAGAAAGAAAGATTAGTGAAATCGTCCTAGCCCCATTTACCTTAAAAAATTGACCTTGTGCCAGTGAAAGCTTAGAAAATATCGATAATATATGTTTAAAATCTTCTGGCCTATGTAAACGGTTAAATAGCAGTGTATTTTTCCGTAAGTGTCAGCAATGTTCGAGCCCAAATAAAGTAATAAATTTGAATACTGATTTCCAAAACAAACCTTTCCTAATTAGAATACTAGCGCTAGATAATCCACTTCCAAATTCAATTTTGTGTTATACATATCTTACTTCTCTTTTCGGTGACATTAGACTCCCTTGTAGAGCATAGGATCACAGCTTCACTACGCTAGTGTTGCTGCTACGGTTTTTCTATAGCAACTAGGTCTTCATGATGTGGAGAAGCTAGCCCACGCTCATCCTGTTTTTGAATTTAAAGTTACTATTTTCCTAGACTGGTTGCCAATCAAGGCTTGAAATCCCAATCTTATCTGCTATTTAACCTATAGCTGGCGGGACAAAAGTAATGCTTTCAAATATTTCTCATTGATATTTACACGAAAGTAAACGCAACGACGTCGACTAGAATCTGAACTTTATCTATCGATTCCTACGCACATACTAAAACTTAGTAATCACAAATAACAAGAAAACAGAATATAGCGTAAAGTTACGCTAAAATGAATATTTATAAAATACACTGTTTATAATTTTGTTAAGAAACATTATTATTTTAAGAGAGTTTTCGAACAATGTAACTGATTCTTTGTGTTGCTTTTTATATGTGAGAGTCCTAGGCATGACGATAAACTGCATCCGGCAGCAAAGATCGGGTGAGTGCAGATTTTGAGGAGTGTGGAACCACTGCTGTTCCCAGGTCCCAGGTGGTAGAATCTGTTAGGGTTCCAGCTATGGGGAAATAGTTACCCACCCCCAGCAAAAATCAAAAAGCTATGAAAGTATAAAATACATTTTTATAGTAAAAATACCAGCAAATATATATATATATATATATATATATATATATATATATATATATATATGAAGAAATGTAGTCTTAAGGTGTGCTATATTTATGGGATAAAGTGCTCAATATCAGAGATAGAGCGTGTGTAAATATAAAAGTGAACATGAAGTCAACACTTAGAGGCGACAGTCTGTTTCTTGCTATATGCAAGGGTGGCCTGACGATTGCATATAGCAAGAAACAGACTGTCGCCTCTAAGTGTTGACTTTATGTTCACTTTTATATATATATATATATATATATATATATATATATATATATAAAACGAGCAACAATATATATTTATAGTCAAAAATGACCAGCAATACATTTTTTCAGTAGTTGAAGGTATAAAAGTTATGTTCAAAATATTTAGATTTCGGCATTAAATAACTCATAGAGTTTAATATATAGCTAAACAAAATCAAACAAAGACAAAAACAAAAAAAAATTCTATTCGTGAAGCCTCCATCAAATCGATTCCAGAAGATCCCCTGCTCCGTAGAGAGATTGACACTCACTCTTGCCTAAAAGCTTAATTTTATTTTTTTAAATCATTTAAAAAAAAATCAAAAATTAACTCGTGGTACATTGTCACGACATCATATCTGGAGAGGAGATCGAAAGGGTATATTGTTGTTGTCATGTAGAGAAAAGTGTCATAT